CCACAGGAGCAGCAGCATCAACAAGAGCAGCCGCAGCAGCCACCACAGCAGCATACAATTCCTGTTCCTATGGGTAGGTGGCAGCAACTACTACAGCAGCAATTGTCCAAGTCACCACATTTCCCCATGACTTGGAAGGAAAAGCTGCAAATTTTGGAGCAGGGGGGGGCATCACCTCTGCGCTGCAGCACACGCATCTCCCGACCACCTGAAAGGTTCACAACAAAGGTGAATGGGTCCTTTGAGCTAGTTGATCCATCTAGTGTGCCACTTAGGATGAAGGTCTTAAGGTGTCAGTGGGTGTGGAAGCACAAGCACAATGCTGATGGCAGTATCGAGAAGCCTAAGTCCAGGTTGGTGGTCATGGGGAACACTCAAACACGGGGTGTTCATTATGCTCAGGTATTTACCCCTGTGGATATGCCTACCACCCTGAGGAGCTCCCTTGGGATGGTAGCCTCTTCAAGGGGTCACATCCATCACATGGACGTGACCACTGCCTTACTTCATGGGATCTTGAAGGAGCTTTACCTGAGCCAGCCCTCTGGTTTTGATGATGGGTCCGGTAGAGTTTGCCAACTCAGAAAATCAATCCATGGGCTGAAGCATGCTCCAAGGCAGTGGTACCTCAAGTTTGATGAGGCACTGATGGATTTTGGCTTTGAAAGGTTGGAGTGTGATCCCGCCTTGTATCACTTGGTGAGAGGTGAGGACAGACTCTCCATCTACCTGTATAAGGATGAGTTACTGCTTTTGTCTTCGAGCATGGTCCTGATGGATAGGGTCAAGTGTCTCTTGTCCTCTCATTTTTGCATGAATAACTTGGGGAGGCTAAGTACTATTTGGAGGTGCAGATTGAGCGTGATGAGAGTGACATCTTGATTCAACAAGAACGGTACATTCTCAACATGCTTGAGTCATTTGGCCTTTCTAAGGCTAACTCTATGCATACCCCTCTCCCTACAGGGTTTGACGTGCATGCATATGCTGAGAAACCCTTGCTGAGAGATGGCCTGATTTAGCTCTATCAAGGCATTGTGGGGTCCCTCATGTACGCAAGTACGACCATATAAGCTCAGATTGCCTATGCAGTGTCACAGCTGTCGAAGGCGGTGTCCTGTCCCAAGACATTTCACCTCCAGGCTGCTAAGAGAGTGTTGAAGTACCTGAAAGGTTGTGTAAAGTCAGGTATCTTCTTTCTTGCACACAACGAGCCTCAGGTCGCGCTGGTGGGATTTATTGATGCTGCTTATGCTGAAGATTCAGCTAATCGCAAGAGTCATACCGGCTATGTCTATTGCCTCAATGGTGCAGTCATCACTTGGCAAAGCAAGAGGCAGCCGGTGGTTGCATTGTCTATCACTGAGAGTGAGTACTGTTAGAAGGAAATGCTGCCATTGTCGGCGATGGGATTCGAACTCGTGTCTTTCAATTTGTCGTGAAAATGTCCAAGGACAAATTCAGGACAGTTTATGCTAAGGCGCTAGTTATGGTGCATGCGAGTTTCGAACTGGAGTCCTTTCAATTCAAGTGTCCCAAAAGAGTCCTTTCAGGACAGTTTGGGGACAGCTTGGTGAAATTGGTCTCGGGTCGCATTCGGTTTGAATGCGGGAGCGGAGTGTCAAAGTCAACAGAATTCGCACGGGACTTACAGGAGGTGGTCGACGGAATTATGGCCGCGGAAATTCTCGTCTACGGCATTCAAGGCTCGGAATTTTGCGTTGACAAAATTCAGCGTGCGACCCGGACTGACACTTTGTTGTGTGCTTTGTTGTTGTGTGAAAACCAGAGAGCAAAACCAGTAATCAACCAAGTGAGTATCACTGCTATGTTTGTGTGTATCTCTTACTATAGTCAACCGCTTTCTGCAATCTTTGGTGCATTGGAATTGTGCTTCTGAGCTCTATCAAGCTACTATAGTAGTGGAAATTTACATGGTACCAGATCTGTGTTATCTGCGTCGATCCAACTAGCAGCTTGATTTCGTCCTCCCGTCACTTCGTTTCTACGTCGGTATGGCCGAAGCTCGTTTTGACTGCGAATGGAGTGGTTAACGAGTGATGAGGGCCTGAATGCCCGTCAGTAAGTGGAAGCATCCGTTCGTGAGCAGCACCCTAACTTGCAAGATGAAGAGATCGACCTTGTGGACGGTTGTCTACTACGCATCATTCGAGAACGCAGCGGCGGAGCAACCACCTGTGGGCGGCAAGCAAGGGGGAGTTGGTGGGGGAGGAGCTGAGCATGAAGCTGTTGTAGAGGAGCATTGGTGGAGGAGCTGTTGTACTAACCATTGACACGGGAATGATCGGGATGAGCTATGGCCAGTTCAAGTTTGGAGTTGAGCATATATCTGTGACGCCGCCGCTGGAGGGAAGGCACAACCTCACCGCGTGGGTCAGCGCCATCTGACCTCAGTTCCAGTGCGCTGATTTGTGGTAGTTTTGCAACGGGACAGCACCAAGCCCAGCCCCAAACAACCCCATGCAACAAAGGGAGTACGCGAATGGCCAAATGCTTGCATTCATGGTGCTGAAGTGACTCTCCATCCATTCGAATGTCCATATCTGGTTTCTCCTAGCAAGAGAAAGCTAAGCAGTTGGCATGGGCATACATTCTGTCCACCAAACAAGCTCGTGGTACCCTCCAGGCCTCCCTACTTCAGACCCTGTTAGCCCAACTCAGGAAGGGAGATGACGAGATGGCCAAATCCTACTGTAACAGAGCCCGGACCATTCGAGCAGAGCTATTGACCATTGGGCTGGATGTCCACATCGCCATATTCGCCACTCGCGTACTGAAGGGCCTGCCGCCGGAGTACGAATTCCTTCAACGCAAGCTCGACATTTCCAGCTCGGAGATGACGGTGGAACGTGTGTGCAGCGTGGTGTTGATGGAAAAGAAGACCCTCTCCATAGAACAAAGCTATAAGCAGATCACCAGCGATGCATTTGCTTTCTCGGGCGCTGTCAACACGATCGTGGCTACAACGAGCGTCAACCTGAACGAAGGGAAAGAAGGAAGGGATTAGACAGACAAGAAGAAGAATGACAAGCGGGAGAAGAAGCGAGCCCCCCTCAAGGGGCGTTACTACAATTGCAATGAGGAGGGACGCATGGCTGCCAAGTGCCCCAACAAGAAGGATGCAACGCCCACGGCAGCCGCGAACGTTGCTAAAGGAGATGGGAAGGGCGTGGTGCTTACCGTCGCATGTTCGGCTGCAAAGTTGCTGGCCGACGACAAAGACTTGTCGTTCCTTGACTCGGGATGCTCCCAACACATGAGTGGTTGACGGTGATCCGTGACCTATCGGCAACAAAAGTTGTCAAAAGGTTTGATGGTTGTACGCAGGAAGTCGCCGGTGTTGGTGAGGTTTTGCTGACGGGCACTAACGGTCTGCTTGTAACCCTGCATAATGTCTTATTTGTGCTAGGAATGATGGCCAACTTGGTCTCCCCTGGGCAGCTCATGGACAAGGGAGCAAATATGCAAACCGAAGGTGTCACCTGCATCATCGCATTGGAAGGACAAGTGGCTGCAACAGCACGCTACCGCCATCGTCTTCTCTGCCTTGACTTAAAATCGTGGCCAGCAAGCAACGGCATAGCGGTTGCAGTGGCATGCAATGGCACAGCGGCTGCAGTGGCATGCAACGGCATGGCGGCTGCAGCTACATACAACGGCATGGTGGATGCAAAGGCATGCAACGATACGGCGGATGCAAAGGCATGCAGTGGCACAGCGCATGCAGCGGCGTGCAACGGCACGGTGGCTGCATCGGTATGCAACGACACGGTGGCTGCGACAGCATGCAACGACATGGTAGCTGTGACAGCATGCAAGGGCACGACGGCTGTAATGGCAAGCACCGGCATGACTTAGGTGATTGCTGATGTGACGTCAAGCAAGCCAGAAGCTAAGAAGGAGCGGCCAGCCTCAAGACGTACGTGGTGGGCTCCAAGGCAGCGCCCAACCTGGCAAGCTCGCCTTGTACATGTCCACTTCGATGCGGTGAAGCGGACAGCCACCAGCGGTGGCGTGTTAGGCATGGACCTGGAGAAAGGAGGTGAGGATATGTCGTGCACCTCCTACCATGAAGCCAAACTCACTCGTCAATCGTTTCCGCTGCATGACGAGCGAGAGGGTCAGGTTCTTGGGCTGGTCCATACTGACGTGTGCGGTCCATTTCAGACCCCAGCCATGGATGGAAGCAGGTACTACATCCCCTTTGTGGACCACACCTCACGTTACACCTTGGGGAAGACATTGAGGTTGAAGAGCGACGCGCTTGCTACCTTCAAGAAGTGGCTTCCCAAAGCTGAACGCCAAACCGGGATGACCCTGAAGGTGTTACGGTCGGATCAAGGGAGTTTATGGTGAATGAGTTCTGCTGCTGCTGAAGCAACGGTGAGTCCTACATCAACACTTCTGCCCCTCAACCCCCCAACAGAACGGTGTGGTTGAACGATGTAGTAACCAAGGGCATGCGTGTGATGTTGGGAGACGTGGGGGTGAAAGCACACTGGTGGAACTTCGTGTTCCAGTAGTTCTTGTGGATGGTAAACTGTATGCACCAGTCCATCTTGCCCCATGGTGTGACCCCTCATTCGGTGGTGTACAAAGTCAAGCCCGATGTGTCTACGATTCGTGTGTTTGGGTGCATAGTGCAATGCCTCTTTCTTGAGCATGAGAGTGAGGGGAAGCTTGCAAGCAAGACTCGTTGGGGCATGCACTGGGCATGAGCATGGAAAGCAAGGGATGGCTTGTGGTCATCACCCAGGATGCACGTTTTTATGAGGACGGTGGCAGAAGTGGCGTGCACGTGTGGGTGACGAAATTGACCAGCTCACACCACCCTTTGCTTCATCTCTCTTTTCTGAGCCCCACGACCTCGAGCAGAGCTGCCGCCACCACGTACCATCATTGTGGTTCCGATGCCAACCATGCAAGGGGGCGAGTAAACGTTTGATCGTTCGGTGGGCCCTGCGGGCAGCAAGGCACCTATGGCTGCGTCACCTCCCGGTCCTTCCTCAAGTGCTGATTCGGCGCCCGTGGGACTTGAGGATGGTCCCCTTGAGGACGGAGGCGGCACGGCTGATCATAAGATGGAAGGACAGGTAGCAGTGGATGAGCAGCCATCGGTGGCCCATGAGTATGATGTCAACAGGAGTTGGGTGTTGGCCCCATCCTTGCTTGGGTGGAGCCGACTTCTTACTCGGGTGTGCGGGAAGTGCAGCCGACCGACTGTAGTGGGCGACGCTGACTTGGGCGAGCTGGTTGACAGGATTGGTCGACCTGCACGGGGCCACTGCGAAGCCGCCGACCAAGGGAAGCCGGCGATCGACTTTGACTGGTGGTCGACGACGGGGCTCGTCGACTAGAGATGGGCGCCGGCTTGGGGGACGCCGACTTTGGAGGCCGACTTGGTGAAGTCGACTTATGGTCGTCAACTTGGTTGGTTGACGAGCACGTCCAGCGGTTGGTCAACCATGCAAGTCGACGCCGACTTGGTGGTGCCCCAGATGACCAAGTAACTAGGGCAACGAGGTTTTGCGGGGTGTGCGACAGTCGCCCGAATGGCTCTGACGAAGCCGACCTCGGAGGTGGTATTCCGAGGTCGACGTGGCTGATCAAGCGCAGTCAATGGCACGTGGTCGACTTGATATCTGCACTGTGCATGGGACAGTGCATCGCACGCCAACCAACTGCGAGCACCTACCGAGTGGGTGCGTTGTTGTGAAGCGGGTGCAACGCTGTGCAGCCGCCTTGCTGCAGCGTTGGCACACCATTGACTTGCAGCGTTGGCAAGCCACCTTTTTGCAGCGCTGGAGTAGTGCGGACTTTGCAGTGCTGGAACGCGATCGACCTTGCTGTGATAGAGGTTGACCCACCTGTGTGCTAGGCAGACTTGCATCTCATGTAGTCATTCTTGCCAATATTGTTGCTATCATTGTTCTCAACATCTGCAAGTAAAACTCTTGCGGTTTTGCTTTGTGAATGCACAAGTGCTGGAGAACAATAAGGAACGCTAGAGTCACTCACACAACCATGCTTTCCCTCGTAGTCTAGCTCCCACTGTTGTTGAGTTAATCTCCGCATGGTGCGGTGAGCGTGGACGGCCCTACAACTTACCTTCAGTTTAGACGACTTAGGTGCACATTACCTAATTTGTGAGCAGGCCGACAGCCATCTTAGTCACCATGGTCGACCCCGTAGTTGTAGCGAGCATAGCACACACCTTGGAGGCTCGAGAGGCTGATGCGAGGAGGCATCTGGCGAGTTCAGGACGGTGCTCCCCTTGGAGGTGTTTCTCTTGGGGATCCACGCGCACTGGGCCGCGAAACACCCTGCCCACAATTGAGCAACTGAGGCAAAGCAGGCACAAGGCCTAGAACAGTACAGAAACGCTGATGATCACGAGGCTGAAAAGCCTTGGTGAATATATCAGTAGTGTTGGCCCAAGTGGCCACGTAAACAAGACGAAGTTGACCACGCTGCTGCAACTCTCGAGCAAGGAAGTAACGCAGAGCGATGTGCTTCGTCCTGTGCTCTAGTCTGTGCTCCTGACACAAGGCAATCATGGCCTTGTTGTCTACGTACAGAACTGAAGGAGAACTAGGCCGCTCTCCCAATTTGGTCAGCAGGTAGGTGAGCCAGCGTAACTCCTGTATAGCCATGGCCCATGCGTAGCTCTCAGCCTCACAACTGGAACTGAGAACAGAAGACGAGCGGGTAGACAGCCAAGAAACAGAACCGGAGCCAAGGCGGTGGCAGCGGGGGTGTTGGGCCGACTGCTGGACGCGGCTCAGCAGCCGCACTCGCTCTTTGAGGTCAGTCCGTACCCGCTGATGGGCAGGCTAACGGGCAGGCGAACACGCAGGAAGATCCAATCTTGGACAGCGAAAGGGCAGCTCCAATGTGCCGCGTGCATCGGTGTGCCGCGTGCATCGGTGTGCCGCCACTGGTGGATACGGCACTCTGACTTGCTTCTTGTTTCCCCCCTTGCTTCTCCCATGTTGCATCATCTCTGCTTCCTGCCACCCCCCGCCAGCTACACCTTCCCCATGGCATCGCATCACCTCGCAAGCTGCCTCCCCCACCCACTTCTCCCGCTACACTGCTGCCTCTTCCCACCACCTACTTTCTCTGCCTCCCACGCCATTCGCAACTCTTTCCCATTTCCTTACCCCCTCCCACCTACCTCTTTCCCCCCCTTCTTCCCCGCCTTTCTTCCCCGCCCGTCTTCCCCGCCCTCCCCCCTCTTATCCCCCATGCACGCTCACCCCACCAGGTGGCGGCGGTGGTAACGCAGCCGCCGTCCAGCCGGGGCAGGGGGCGCACTAAAGGACAGCTGCAGCCGACCGCTGTGGGACAGCTGGCAGCAGATCGCGGCCTGCCGCCCGACCGTATCCTCTCGCCTGCCACGGCTCGCGATGTGCGCCCTTGTTCGCCTCAGCCTCTGTCCTCATCCGCTGTTCTCATTCGCTGCTCTCATCCGCTGCTCTCATCCGCTGCTCTCATCCGCTGCTCTCATCCGCTGCTCTCATCCGCTGCTCTCATCCGCTGCTCTCATCCGCTGCTCTCATCCGCTGCTCTCATCCGCTGCTCTCATCTCATCCGCTGCTCTCACCCGCTGATCTGTTACTCCTGTCCTTTTCCCTGTCCCTCCTGTCCTTTTGTTGGCCGTTTTCGCAAATGTCCTTGCTGTGCTTCCTCGTTAGTCGTTAGCCCTCCGGCCTTTCTTGATGCGCTGAAATACCTTCAGCCAGAGGAGGTGGCTTTTGAGTCGACCCAAATGTTCCTTCCGCACATCTCCCCCCTCGCCCCAACCCACGACCCCCATGCGCTGACCCCATGCGCTGACCCCATGCGCTGACCCCATGCGCTGACCCCATGCGCTGACCCCATGCCCTGACCCCATGCGCTGACCCCATGCGCTGACCCCATGCCCTGACCCCATGCGCTGACCCCATGCGCTGACCCCATGTGCTGCCAGCCCGCCTTCCTAGAGGTGCTGAAGCACCTGCAGCCAGACGTGTGCATCACTGCAGCATATGGAAACTTCCTCCCGTCTTCCTTTCTCTCTATCCCGCTCCAAGGTAAGCACATGCATCCACCCATCTGTCCCTTTCTCTTGAGCTCTCTTGCTCTCTCTTCCACTCTCTTCCTTGCACTCCCTTGCACTCTCGTGCGCTCCCTTGCACTCTCGTGCGCTCCCTCTCGTGCGCTCCCTTGCACTCTCGTGCGCTCCCTTGCACTCTCGTGCGCTCCCTTGCACTCTCGTGCGCTCCCTTGCACTCTCGTGCGCTCCCTTGCACTCTCTTGCGCTCTCTTGCACTCTCGTGCGCTCTCTTGCACTCTCTTGCACCCTCTTGCGCTCTCTTGCACTCTCTTGGTTCTTTTTGCGCTCTCTTCCACTCACCTGGCCCCTCCTCCATAAATCCCTCACACGCAAGCTCTTGTGTTGTGAGCGTAACACGATAATTGAGGCTGTGAGTTGTGCGGCTTCCTAGTGGATATTCACCCCCGTTCATGAGCAGGCACTGTGAACATTCACCCCCGTTCATGAGCAGTCACTGTGAACATTCACCCCCGTTCATGAGCAGGCACTGTGAACATTCACTCCCATTCATGAGCAGGCACTGTGAACATTCACCCCCATTCATGAGCAGGCACTGTGAACATTCACCCTCATTCATGAGCAGGCACTGTGAACATTCATCCCCATTCATGAGCAGGCACTGTGAACATTCACCCTCATTCATGAGCAGGCACTGTGAACATTCACCCCCATTCATGAGCAGGCACTGTGAACATTCACCCTCATTCATGAGCAGGCACTGTGAACATTCACCCCCATTCATGAGCAGGCACTGTGAACATTCACCCCCATTCATGAGCAGGCACTGTGAACATTCACCCCCATTCATGAGCAGGCACTGTGAACATTCACCCCCATTCATGAGCAGGCACTGTGAACATTCACCCCCATTCATGAGCAGGCACTGTGAACATTCACCCCCATTCATGAGCAGGCACTGTGAACATTCACCCCCATTCATGAGCAGGCACTGTGAACATTCACCCCCATTCATGAGCAGGCACTGTGAACATTCACCCCCATTCATGAGCAGGCACTGTGAACATTCACCCCCATTCATGAGCAGGCACTGTGAACATTCACCCCAGCCTGCTCCCCAAGTTCAGAGGAGCGTCGCCCGTGCAGCGAGCACTGGAGGTGAGCAGGCGGGTAGGGAGCTGAAGCAGTGGGAAAGGGGCTGAGGAGGTGGGTAGGGGGTAGTAAAGGGGAGAAGAGAGGGCGAGTGGCGAGGGGCAGTGGAGGCACTGGGTGGCACTGGGTGGCACTGGGTGGCACTGGGTGGCACTGGGTGGCACTGGGTGGCACTGGGTGGCACTGGGTGGCAGCGAGCACTGGAGGTGAGCAAGGGGCAAGGAAGGAGAGGAGGGGTAGAGGAGGGGTAGAGGAGGGGAGGAAGGAGCACGACGTGCAAGGGGCAGTGGAGTCAACAAGGGGCGATGAAGGTAGCAGGGTTCACTAAGGCCCGCCTTCCTCTCCCCACCTCCACCAATTTCCTTCCTCCAGGCAGGCATGCCAGCCGATAAGTTGTTACTATTTAGCAGAGGAAGATATAAAATGTGTTGAGCAACCTCGGTGCACAACTCACTGCGGCCTTCCTGATGCCACCTGCCCCATCGCACCCCCACCTCCTTGCTGCCTCTTCTTTCCAACACCACACCTCTGTGCCATGCAACTTTCTGCATCTTCACTCCATGTCCTCACCCCGTGTCTTCCCCCCATGTCTTCCCCCCGTGTCTTCCCCCCGTGTCTTCTCCCCGTGTCTTCCCCCCGTTTCTTCCCCCTGTGTCTTCTCCCCGTGTCTTCCCCCGGTGTCTTCCCCCCGTGTCTTCCCCCCGTGTCTTCCCCCCGTGTCTTCCCCCGTGTCTTCCCCCCGTGTCTTCCCCCCGTGTCTTCCCCCCGTGTCTCCCCCCCGTGTCTTTCCCCCGTGTCTTCCCCCCGTGTCTCCCCCCCGTGTCTTCCCCCCGTGTCTTCCCCCCGTGTCTCCCCCCCGTGTCTTCCCCCCGTGTCTTCCCCCCGTGTCTTCCCCCCGTGTCTCCCCCCCGTGTCTCCCCCCCGTGTCTCCCCCCCGTGTCTTCCCCCCGTGTCTTCCCCCCGTGTCTTCCCCCGTGTCTTCCCCCCGTGTCTTCCCCCCGTGTCTTCCCCCCGTGTCTCCCCCCCGTGTCTTCCCCCGGTGTCTTCCCCCCGTGTCTCCCCCCTGTGTCTTCCCCCCATGTCTTCCCCCCGTGTCTCCCCCCCGTGTCTTCCCCCCGTGTCTTCCCCCCCTGTCTTCCCCCCGTGTCTTCCCCCCGTGTCTCCCCCCCGTGTCTTCCCCCCTTGTCTCCCCCCCGTGTCTTCCCCCCGTGTCTTCCCCCCGTGTCTTCCCCCCGTGTCTTCCCCCCGTGTCTCCCCCCATGTCTTCCCCCCGTGTCTTCCCCCCGTGTCTTCCCCCCGTGTCTCCCCCCGTGTCTCCCATCTCCTATGGCCTCGCCAGCAAGGAGTGGCAGAGACGGGAGTGACAGTGGCATACGCGGTGCAGACGGTGAACGCAGAGCCCATCATCGCACAGGAGAGGGGGCGGGCGCTTATGCCTCTCCAGTTGACCCATAAGTCATCTTCCCCCCACCCTCCCTCCTCATGTAGCAAGGGGTGGCAGAGACAGGAGTGACAGTGGCATACACGGTGCTGCAGATGGATGCAGGCCCCATCATCGCACAGGAGCGGGTGCTGGTGGCGGATGACGTTCAAGCACCTGAACTGCTCAACGACCTCTTTCATCGGGGTGCCTTCACTGCCCAACCCACAACCCCCACCCCATCTAGCCCACCACAGCCCCCACCCCATCTAGCCCACCACAGCCCCCACCCCATCTAGCCCACCACAACCCCCACTCCATCTAGCCCACCACAGCCCCCATCCATCTTCTCACCGTGCTGCATCTACTTCGATGCAGCATCCCACCGTGCTGCATCTACTTCGATGCAGCATCCCACCGTGCTGCATCTACTTCGATGCAGCATCCCACACCGTGCTGCATCTACTTCGATGCAGCATCCCACCGTGCTGCATCTACTTCGATGCAGCATCCCACCGTGCTGCATCTACTTCGATGCAGCATCCCACCGTGCTGCATCTACTTCGATGCAGCATCCCACCGTGCTGCTATCTTTCACCTCATCACTGCATCACCCGCATCATCCATCCATGCTATCGTCCCTTCCCACTGCCGTCCTACTCTTTCCTCTTTCTCTCTCCCCACTCCCCCTCGCACCCTCCTCTCTCTCGGCTCCCCTTCCGCCTTCCACCCACCTACTACTGCAGCATCTGCCCTCACTGAGATGCCTCACAAGGTGCAACACCTTTCCTCCCCCCCCACCCTCCTGTCTCCCCTGTCCCTCCCATGCCAGGCACGCACCTGCTACTGCAGCATCTGCCCGCCGTGCTGGATGGCTCTGCGGCTGCCACTGCGACGCCGGAAGACGACTCCCAAGCCACCCACGCGGCTAAGGTGGGGCCAGCGCAACACCACATTGCATGGGCTTGCATGGTCTTGCATGGGGTTGCAAGGGGTTGCATGGTCTTGCATGGGGCTGCAAGGGGTTGCAAGGGGTTGCAAGGGGTTGCATGGGCTTGCAAGGGGTTGCAAGGGGTTGCATAGGGTTCCATGGGGTTGCATGGGGTTGCAAGGGGTTGCATGGGGTTGCATGGGGTTGCAAGGGGTTGCATGGGGTTGTATGGGGCAGCAGAGGAGGGGGTCCTGATGTTCCTCTCATCACTGCACCTTGCACGACTGCCCTCCCACGAATCCCCTCCCACGAATCCCCTCCCACAAATCCCCTCCCACGAATCCCCTCCCACGACTGCCCTCCCACGACTGCCCTCCCACGACCGATAGAATACAAGAATGTGTTTTAGTAATAAGCCAACAAGGCTCTATTATACAAGCATGCAAGGAAGAGAAGGGTATGCAAGCATGCAAGGAAGAGAAGGGTATGCAAGCATGCAAGGAAGAGAAGGGTGGAGGAGGAGCTAACCCTAATGGCCACAAAGTTGGCCAATGAGTGAGGTGCCTTGTGGAGTAGGAAACCTCACAAAATAGCTAGGTTGGGATTGGTTGGTCTAAGGACCAAAAGTTGGCAAGTGCCAACCAAAGGCCATGACCAAATCCAATCTTGACCAACCACATGTGGTTGGAGTGTACACCCAACCCCCCAAGAACATAAAGGACTACACCTATTCTAGCCTATGAATGTTGTATATAGTATACAACTACAACACAACCCCCCAACATGCATAAGGCTAGAAGATGTAATCAGGAGGCCGTCACAACCGGAGGGGGGGTGAGGCCAAGGAGACGCAGAAGGAAGGAGTGGGATGCTTGGGGAAGAGCTTTGGTGAAGATGTCAGCGAGGTTGGCCGCCGAGTCGATTTTGCCAAGGCGAAGGTGCCCGGCCTTAACGAGATCACGAATTAAGAAGTAGCGAAGCTCAATGTGTTTGGAATGCCCATGATACACAGCATCCTTGGTGAGGTGAATGGTGCTAGCGTTGTCACACCAGATGGTGGGACAGCATTGGGGGGCACCAAGCTCATCGAGGAGGAAGGTGAGTTAGCGTGCCTCCTGCGCAGCCATGGTTGCAGCGTAAAGCTCTGCCTCGCAGGAGGAGAGGGCGACGGCAGAGGAACGTGTGGACCGCCAGCTGATTAGACCGCTGCCCAAAGAGAAGCCATAACCCTGAGAGGACCGCCTATCCGGGCGAGAGTCAGCCCAGGAAGAGTCACTGTAGCTGTTGAGGAGGGGTTGGGAAAGGTAAGGACATAGTCCTTTGTGCCACGAATGTAGCGAAGGACGCGCTTGGCGGCCTGCCAGTGTTCCTTCGTGTGCTTGCCAGCGCCAACGAAGCGAGCGAGGACGCTGATGGGGAAGGCAAGGTCAGAGCGAGTGGAAACCATGGCGTACATGAGAGAGCCGATGAGTTCAGGATAAGGATGGGAGGAGGCAGAGGGAGAGGAGGGTGGGGAGAGCTGGTGCTCAACTGAGAATGGAGTGGGCTGGGGGTTACCGCACGCCACATTAAACCGGTCCAAGACTTGCTGGAGATAGTGACCCTGAGAGAGAGAGATGGTGCGGGCGGAGCGATCGCGAGTGATGGTCATGCCGAAGTAGTGCTGCAGCTCTCCCAGGTCTTTGCACTTGAGACGGGTGCCCAGCTCGGCCTTGACACTCTCGAGCTCGGCAAGGTCAGTAGTGAGGAGGATCATGTCGTCAACATAGACGAGGATGTAGAAGGGGGAGGGGGAAGTGCGGAGGAAGAGGCTGGCGTCAGAGCGGGAGGTGCGAAACCCAAGCTCGGCAAGGGTGGCTGCAAGCTTGGCATGCCACTCCCTGGGTGCCTGGCGGAGCCAGTACACGGGTCGGCGCAGCTGCCAGACGGAGTCGGCGGGGAAAGGGAGGTGAAAACCCGCCGGGCGCTCCATGTAGATTAGTTCACAGAGCACGCCTTGCAGGAAGGCGTTGGAGCCGTCCATCGAGTGGATCTCCATGTTGAGGCGAGCGGCGAGGTCAAGGACGGCGCGAACGGTAGCAGGCTTGGCGGTGGGGGAGAAGGTGTCGAAGAGGTCAACCGCATACCGCTGTGTGAAGCCTTTGGTGCAATACTGGGCCTTGTAGACGGGCGGTTCTCCTGGTAGCTGTTTGACGCGAAATACCCACTTCCCCTTCACCACGTTCGTAGAGGGAGGAGGGCAAGGTACATCAATGAAGGATGAGTTGGCGACAAAGGCCTCCAGCTCCTTGATGATGGCGGCGAGCGAGAGCGAGGCGTCGGGGCAAGCGATGGCCTCCTCATACGTGGTAGGGATGAAAGTGGATGGAGTAGAGGAGAAGGCGAAAACTGGCGCTCCAGAGAGGTCGAAGGTGATGGGTAGAAAGGAGGGGTCACAGAGGTGGAGGTCAAGGAACTCCTCATGGGAGTCCTCAGAGAGGGAGGTGTGGAAGGCGCGGATGGCCGCTGATGCCGCTGCTGGTGCCGCTGCACGAGCTGCTGCTGGTGCCGCTGCTGGTGTCGCTGTTGGTGCCGCTGCTGGTGCCGCTGTTGGTGCCGCTGCGGGTGCCGCTGCTGGTGCCGCTGCGGGTGCCGCTGCTGGAGCCGCTGCAGGTGCCGCTGCTGGTGCCGCTGCTGGTGTCGCTGCCAGTGCCGCTGCTGGTGCCGTTGCGGAGGCCGTTACTGGAGCTGCTGCTGATGATGATGAAGGAAAGGTGGCTGCGGGGGCTGTTGCATGAGGGGCTTGATGCAAGACAGCCTGGAAGAAGTGGTGAAGGAGGGGGGAGAGGGGGGGGAGGGTAGAGGTAGAGAGGGTAACAGGGGGCGGTGCACCAAGGATACCGTCACGTGACCTAGTGTGAGGGTACCGGGTGAGTATGGTGCGGGGAGGGGGGGAGAGAGGGGAGGGTTGAGAGGGAGGGGGGGGAGGGGAACCGGGGGAGGAGTGAGCGGGGGAGACAGGGGAGGACAGAGGGTCCCGGTCAAAGATGTCACCACACGAGGGGGGGGGACCGTGGGACTGGGAGGGCGGAGGGGGAGGGGGTGGGAGGATGGGGGGAGGAGGGAGTAGAGGGGGAGGGGTGGTGCCAGACCAGACAAGGGGACGGGTGAGAGAGGGGAGTGGGTCAGTGGACGGAGGAGAGGAGTAATACGGGGTGGACTCATCAAAGTCGACATCTCGACTGCGAATTAGTCGACCGGAGGGGGGGTGGAGGAAAAGGTAGTCGGGGGAAGAGGGGTTATGACCAAGGAAGATGCAAGGAAGGGTATGAGGGGCAAGCTCTAAGGAACAGGATCGGTCAGATGGGTGAATGAGAACATATGCTTTTGAGCCCTAGACTCGAAGAGGGGAGGAGGGGGTGAGGGTAAAGGTTAGTAATGGGGGCGGCATGAAGGAGGGCATAGCCCCACAGAGAAGGGGGGCATGAGGCGTGGACAAGTAGACACCGAGAAGTATTGGTGATCTCCCAAACACGGCTCTCAGCGACACCGTTCTGCTGTGGGGAGTGTGGGAGGGTGTAAGTCTGAAGAATGCCGCGGGACTGGCAATAGGAGGAGATTTGGTTGTTAAGGAACTCACCACCACCATCAGAGTGAAGGCGGCGAACAGGGCGCCAAAAGTGGGTGTTTGCTTGTTCGAGCTAGGCAAGGATCGCTGTCAGGGCGTCCGCCTTCGTCCGAACGAGAGAGACGGACGAGTACCGACTGTGATCATCGACGAGCACGAGAAGGTAGCGATGGCCCTGATGAGTGGAAGAAGGATTAGGGCCCCAGAGGTCCATGTGAACAAGATCAAGTGGCTGGGCAGCAACGAAAGGGGAGCTCCGGTGTGGCTGCTGCTTGAGCTTGCTCTGAACACAGACGGCGCAAGGGGGGGCAGGGGATTTGGGTAGGGGAGGGAGGGAGGAGGGGAGACCGTGGAGGAGACCAGAGGAGACAGAGGAGCGCAGAGTAGCGAAGTTGGGGTGACCTAGCCTGTGATGGATGAGGATGGTAGGGTGGGAGAGGGAGCGACATGAGCAGTTAGAGTCAGGGGGGCGGGGGGGGACGGGTGGGTTAGTGGAAGGGAGGGGAGGGGGTGGGGAAGGAGGGGGGGGGAGGCAACTTGGAAGGTGAGAGGGCGGGGACAGAAGGGAATATGGGAGAGGAAGCGACCTGTGGAGGTTTGGTAGAGGTCACAATGGTTAGCACCACCTGGGATGACTGTGGTGATCATGGCTTGTTGGAGGGACC